ATGTAACGGACCGTCAATATAACGGACAAAAGTACTGGTCCCGAGCAGTCCGTTATATCGACTTTCACTGTGTATATACGCGCCCTCTCCCCTTCTCCTAGAAGGTACAGGGAACAATTCCCTGCTGCCATCAAACAACAACGAACTCACAACTCTCAACGACACCATATACTCAGACAAACGTACATGTGTCAACCTCCCCTCCAAAACGCAAATACAATATTATTTAGTTAACGTACAGCGAACAATTCTTGCCGCCACTACATATTACGCACATACAATAGCTTGTTACAACTCAGCCTAACGGTTTACCGACCTTTAACTGAAAGAGTTCTCACATATACATCGGACTGTTCTCTCTATTGCGTATGCATCGCTTAATGGCAACATCTCCAAAGCGTAAATATGACGAACAACTCCATATTACGCACATACAATAACTTGTGAACGAGTCTTTTAACAACGACACGGTTAGGAAACAAGCAGTTGATGGCTGAAGATCAAATGATTTTTGGGCATTTTAAAATTGCGGATAACTGCCAAAGCGAATCTGTTCGAAATATCTTCAACTCGAAATTAATTCAAGGCCGATGCGCCAAACTTTTCAAGACTCGTGCTTTGCGTCGTACGGTTGAGATAAGAAGCACTTCACTTGTACTGCATGCCAATCAACAAACCGAGTTGTCTACAAGAATTCGTTTACCTCGAAAACTTGAGAGAACGAAGATGATCATTTTGCGCAACTTTACCGAAACCAAAGTGGACATTGATTAACTGCGAGTGTCAGAAATTAATTTCAAAAAGCAGCGGGCTTGCAACCATTTTACCGATTCATCAGTCGTCTAATGACTTGGAGTCTGAAATGGGTTCTAAATAAAGAGAATCAAACCCAATCATTCCTATTAAATAATAATAGGCAAGGACTTGATTGTGATTTACAATGTGTCAATTATTGTTAAAACGAATGACGCTTCTGCGATAACTGAGATCTATCGGAAGCCAGTATTGGGGTGGATTGCTAGTATTTGTGTAAAAGCCAACACACTTGAGCTGTTAATTGACCAAACGAAATAATATTCACTTTTCTTTTTGAAAACAATTATGAGCGTGTTCGTATAATCAAATAAAAACAAAAACAATCCATTCAAAGTAGTTGGATTTATATACGTCAATTGCTTTTTTTGGCCGCCGGGAAGTCATGTGTGCAACCCACGTTAACGTTAGGAAGACTGTTTAAGTCTCCCTGAGAAGATTCTTATTCGGAAGGACGGCCACGGTTTATTTGTTCACCATGTTATGTTTTACAAGGCGGCACGAAAATTTGTAATGGAAAAATGATATTCCATGCAGTAACGACACAGCGGATGCGTTTATGATTTCAATACATGGATTGCATCGGTCGATAATAGAAGGTTATTAATCTAAATACAACATTCAAATTTACAAAAAATTGAATTCGACCTTTTTTGAAACTCCCCAGCCCTCCAAATTATCTCTGTATTGTATTCGAAAGGTAAAACTCACGGTAAAGCGTTGAATGGTACCCGGTCAGATATTATTCGAAAGTGTATTCTATATGCATATAATGTCGCCATACTTTGTTTTTCATGACAGCTTATTATGTGGTATTATTATATCAATCTTTGATTTCGATAATCACATATAAGCATATTAGAAATGTTGTTTTAAACATATCTCGGACAATGTAAAAAGGCAATTACATTATTCTGTTGGTTGTTCATTAATAATATGCATATTTTGGGTAAATTGTTGGTAGATTTTCGAAAGTTCTTTTCTTGTATCGCAAAGACTATAATTTGTTTATTTTTAATAAAAATTTCCACCAATCATGGAAATCGACAAATTAACGATTAGAATTAAAAGAATAATGCGACGTTTATTCATTTGTTAATTCCTCAGCAAGGAAATTACATCATCGTCACCTGAGAGCCAACATGTTCGTAATAACAACAACTAACTTCTGCAACAAATTACAGGAGTGTGAGAAAACGTTTAACAGCAGTCATAGGCCTTTCTAGAAATAGCGTTTGTAAATTTGAGTTTGTCTTTATGTAACGCCAAGTCAACGAAAAGATTAAACAATAACATACCAATCAAAATTATCAATAAAATCATTAATTAGGTCAATAGAAAACATGTCGAGTCCTATCATGATTATGCAAATGACATAATGATAACTTTTGTGTCTATATGACGGCGAGGAACTACTTAACCCCATTATATAAAATGGGTAGGCGATGTTATCTAATGCTAGCTGTTGCAAACTTGTCTAAATCGCTTCCAATACAAGATGCGTTCATTATCTCATTGCACACGATGTCATGCATAACATATGATTTGTATGCATTCAAGATACCATGCTACTGCTTTTTGCCTTTTCCCAACGTTCAAATGCGTGGGCTCTATTTAAAGTCATATAAGGCATAATTATAATTAAAACTGGTCGTATGTGCTCTAATCAAATATGCGAACCCTTTTTTATTATCATGCATGATAACTAACTTTCTATTGTTTGTGCCCACGTGGTTTTTACTGGAACCTTTTGCAGTAATTAAATTTATGTGCATGGCTATAAAGGGCATAACTCTTCACGCTAGTGTTCACGAAGCCTTGCCTTCTTTGGTCAAGACCGTCAAAATAAACATCTGTACAGTTTTTCAACATGTCGCACATTAATTTAAATTGCATATTAATATCTACTTTACATGCATTGTGCATCTCTTACTGGCATATATGCTCAAGATTGCAAGGAGACATATTCTCACATACAATCAATACGTTTTCGTCTTTAAACAGGCTGGACCCCAAGAAAGGAAGAGCTTTATCATCAGTCAGCATTATCATCGTTTCTATAGATAAATCCAAACAGTTTCTCGTTCTTGTATCACATAACCACTTTACCGACTAAATGGACCATACAGAGAGTTGAACTGTTGTGATATATTACTCATGTATGGCGAGTCCTTTTTTTTTATTACTTTCGTCGCCAAGAATTATTCAATGTATATCAGAGTATATAAACGACTTGGATAGGGAGAGAATGGTGCCCGCCTTTAGTTGCGTAGGGATATTCCTGTTATCGCTTTGTCTGGAGAGAGTTAATCACACCCTCATCCCAACTTTTTATGTCATTCCTTTCTTCAATCCGCATCATCTAACCACCCCAATCCCCCCCCCACTCCATCCTTCTCCCTCACTAATAATCGCTTAACAACCGATACAATTCGTTACCTCTTTATTCTCATTACCTTTCCACTATTTCCATAAAATAATATAATTTTCGGGTATCCCATTCGGGTGAACAGCATTTACAATAATCCCATCCTAACTACTTTCGTTCATTAAGCTCTATTTGAATAATGAATTACAATACGCTCATAACAATAGTGTTGGTAGTAATAGCCTTTATAGCTATTGCTACAGCTGCACCTCAAACGGTCGCTCCACCAGGTAATTTTGGCAATTGCATTCTTCCGTACGTTTACTGTTTTCTAATAACATACGTATTGGCTTACACGATTTTATATATATATATATAACATTTACTAGTTGTAAGTGCTACCAATGGGTCCACACCCCCTGCCGCCACTGCTGGACAATCGGCTGCATCATCTGCGATTTCAGATACAACGACCCCTACATCCCTCGCAACATCTCCCGCAGCCACTCCAGCAGTCCCAGTTCCATGCACTCCCAATCCAACAAATGCTTCTACTCTGATATGTTCGGACACTACTACATACTGCGACCTATCTAGCGGACTGTGCCAGAAGAAAATTGCACTCGGGCAAGCATGCAGTGATGACATCAGTTGTGAGTCAGGTCATTGTGAGTCAGGTGTATGTGCCGACTCGTCAGAAAACTCGAGTCCAAACAATAATCAAACTATTCATATTGTGATGATGATTGGAATAGGCATTATTGGAATTAGTATAATTGGACTGTTAATATGGGCTTGTCGCGCAAGACGAAAGAAACGTCAATCGAATACTCGCGACGTCAGTAATGGCGCAAAGAAATCAGCTGGAGTCGCTCCTAGTCCTTCTGACGATTCTCTGACATTAGAAAAGAAAAAGATGAGCCACACGTATCCATTCAGTAATCCGACTACGGGATTCCTGAGCAATGACCCAAAAACACTTCTTCCAACTCATTATAGACTCAGTTTGGGCGATGTATTGGATTCATTTAATGTAGAACTTAGTCCGATACCAGAAAACCCATCAGCTGATGAAGCTTCAGAGGATTCTCCCGATAGCTCCGAACTGTACTCACCAACTTCGACTCTTGCATCTCCACAAGTTGCACATGTGTCTGAGAAACGTAAGAGCATTGGATGGTCATCAGTGGATACGATAAGTCTCATGAACAGTAATATTACTCTTCGCGACTCGAGTACGCTTGGTGATACATTAATGAATGATATGTTGGTATGTGACGATAACAAGTCCGAAAAAGGCTCAGTTCACGTAGTATTTCCCATAACGAACAAGCAGCAGGCTCAGCAGCAGCAAGAAGACTTGGTAAAGTCGGTAAAAAAAGCTAAAAGCAAAACAAGGCGGAAATACACGAGAACGGTTAGCGTTAAAACCGACGCATTCAAATAATGCAAGGGCTTCTGTCATGTCGTCTGCAAGCAGTCAAAACGATTTTACAACCGATATTATGTACGTTGGACTCGATGACTATATGGACGCTAATGACTTGGAGTCAACCCAAAACTCTGCGGGTAGATACAAAATGGCCTCAATATATTCGACCTATTCTAGAGAGTATGACATATTCGCTAATTTGCCTGACCTTCCCTCTCCCCAAGTAATTGGTTCTTATCCGGTTCCAGGATCGCCGGGTTCTCGCATTGAATCCTGGAATAGTAAATCACTGAGAGTGATTGATGAGAACACCACAGATGATACTTGCATTGAATCCGACTGTCCCCGAGCTTCGATCTACACATTGAATGTTCCATTTATCAAAAAGCTGTGTTCAGATACCACGTCTGTGCCACTGCCAGCAACGCCACCTAAAACATTAGATTAGAGAAATGTCTGCATAAGTTAGATGTAATCTTTAGCGTCACTCAATATACTTAAATAATAGATCAATACACCTTAACATAATTATTCATTTGCATGTATACTCATTACTGTTAATTTCTCATCTAAACGTAAAAACACTGCAGTTTGTAGTTTGTAAAGAAAAGAACTGGTTCTTGGCAATAAATTTGGGCCCTCATTTGTAATTTTAAAAAAATAAGCTGTTACACCAATGTTCGCTTTTTTTGAAAAAAT